CCCAAGGAACAAGGGATGGGACAAGAGGAAACGGCCTCAAGCTGCACTAGGGGAGGTTTAGACTGGATGTTAGGAACAATTTCTTCCCCAAAGGGTGTTCAGGCACTGGAACAGGCTACCCAGGGAAGAAGTGGAGTCACTGTCCATGGAGGGGTTCATAACCCATGTAGACAAGGCCCTCAGTGACATGGGTTAGTGGTGGCCTTGGCAGTGGCGGGGAACAGTTGTACTTAATGATCTTAAAGCTCTTTTCCAACCTGGTTGTTTCCATGTCACCCTGCAGGCAATCGTGCCCGTGCCTCCTGCTTGGGGCTGAAACTGGCAGTGGAAGGCTACTTGCTAATGAAGCCCCTGCTGCAAGAGCAACAACCCCAGGCCAAACTCCTCACCTTTCAGCCTCTTGTCCACCCAGTGATGCCCACATCACCCGTGGTGCCCAAGCCTCCTGTGGTGCCCTAGCCTCCTGTGGATCCTAAGCCACTCATGCACACCAACCCTCCTGTGGTACCCAAGCCTCCTGTGGATCCCAAGTCACTTATAGACACCAAGCCTCCTGTGGTACCCAAGCCTCCTGTGGTGCCTATGTCCCCTGTGCTGCCCAAGCCAAGGGGCAGAACCACTCAGCTCCCATGGGCTGGAGCAGCACATGTTGAGCTGGCTTCTCTGGGGCAATCATGGCATTTCTTCTCTGGCTTTGTCCCCCAGGCACCACCACAGCCAAACCCCCTGCTCCAGTGGGCTCAGGTCACTCTGCCCCAGCACTGGGCTACCCCCCCCCCCCCCCAGCCGCAGGCCCACCAACAACCCTAACTGCAAGCCCTGGGCAGCAGAGCCATGCTGCAGGCCGGGGGCATGCAGCAGCACCTGCGGGCAGGCAGAAGAGCTGCGACCCTAAAGGCAATGAAGGAGGGGACAGTGTCCTGCACACCAGAAGTGGGCAACATAGTGGCAACCACTTCCCCCTTACCTCAACCAGAACCTGTCTCTGCACAGGGACACCCATCCCACCCACTGTGGAGGGCTATGAAACATGGTTTTGAAACACATTGACTAGCTCTGCCTCTGCCTCTTTGTGTGTGTGGGGGAGATTTGGTGGGAACCAGGGCTGCAGGCAGAAAACAGGGCAGCCAAA